CCCCAAAACCCCAAAACCCCAAAACCCCAAAACCCCAGTTTAATATAATAAAATTGGAATTCCTACAAACAATGAAAAACTGTTTTCTTCTTCGAGCCTGAATTATCGCCATTATCCTCTTTGCCATTGCTTCTTCAGCCAAGATTCTACTGGTTTACCAGATAGGAAGACATGGAGCGAGAAGTGATGCAGAAACCTTTAGAGGCATACTTGAGGATGAGAGTAAGAATTATGAGATCAATGAACTTTCATTGACAAAGTTTGGACTCGAACAGACTTACCAACGAGGAGTGGATGTTGTTAATAGATATGCAGATTTACTTAAAGATAGCACCCCTGATCAGATCAAAGTTAGAGCATCTAACTCTACTAGGTGAATTTTGAGTGCTTATTCACAACTTACCGGCATGTATGGATCTGATAAGTGTAAGACTATCATAGAACAATACACTAGCGTTGATAAAACCAAAGAAATAAATTACTTAAAAGATCTTGATGTAGATGCCAGAATTTGACTAAAACAGTTTATCACTAAAGTAGAAGTCCAAGAAACAGGTGACTCTCGATTTCAGATGCTTGAGAAAGAGTGCGCTTTGTGTAAAAATCTCACTTCTGAAGAATCTAGAAGTCCCAGAACAAAACTACTATTTGAAAACTATGATGCGATAATTCAAGAATGGTCCGATAAATTTTATCCGTACATTGCTCAAGCTGATCATCTTAACTTCTGAGGTTACCTTGTGTCTATTGTTCAACATGACCTAAAGTTGAACCCATCCTTGTTTAATAATGACTACTCACATGACAAAATAATAAGTCTATGCCAAAACTATCTGTTAAAAGACTTGAAAGAGGTAACGACTAGATCCCCTCTCTTATGGAGAATCTTGTCTTCAGATTTTCTTAAAGATATCATACATGCTTTCGATGAAGTTGGCTGGGATTTAGGTCATCTTAAGAAGGATAGAGTGCTCTATTACTATGATTCTGGCCATGATACAAACTTATTGCCTGTTTTGAGAGCGTTAGGAACTGATATACAACAACCTATTCCATTCGCCTCTTCTTTGTTCTTTGAGCTACACGAAGATGACATTAACTCAGAATTATTCGTCAAAGTGTATTTTAACGACATTGAGGTAGATGTAAACATTCTTGAACAAAACGATCTTTCCTCTAATCAGCCATCTGATGAAGAGACCTCAGAAAAACTTGTAATGAAACCAGAAGAGTCTGAAAAATATGACGAGCCAGATGAAGACAGTTCACTCTACTATAATTTCAAGAGATTCCTTCTAAGAAGGGTTCTCTCCGAAGACGTTGAAAGTTACTGAGGAATGAAATTGGATGACGTATCCACCCTAGAAAGTACCACAGGAGAGCCCCAGCAATTCCAAACTCAGACGTTCATGTTCATCTTCTTTGTGTCAACAGTTATGATAGTCTCACTTTCAGGAATAGCAATTCTGATCTACATTAACAAAAGCCAAGATGCTCAAATGAAGAGAATGGAGAGTCCAAAAGATCTGCCAATAGCAGGCAAACACTTCAAGTTCCATGATGAAATGGATAATGATTTTTGGGACAAGACCACCAAAGATGCTGTTGTGGTATAAATCCAAATTCAATTATGATAATACGTTCTGGGGTTTTGGGGTTTTGGGGTTTTGGGGTTTTGGGG